CGTGACTCCACCCTGGGGGGTTGGATACAGATCCTTTACCGACATGCTCAGGATCTGGCCACCCTGGCGTTTGGACCGAAGGCGGGCGGTGCAATCGATTCCACTAAGCACTATGACATTTGCCGCAGAATTGCCAATCTTAGCGTAGGCGCTTCCGACTTCCAGTATTTTGCGAAGACTTCGAGTCTTGTCGAGAAGCTCTTTACTCCTGCCCTTCAGCGCATTTCACTCCCTCCGGAAGAGAGGCGACGGTTCTTGATCGTCGGAGACTCTTCCCTTGCGTTGTGCCATTACACGGGGCGGAAGCCTACGCACCGCATGACCATTGAGCCGCTCATGCAAGACGTTTTCAGGAACAATCCAGAAGTGGAGAGCCTAATCTACTCAATGAAGTGGGGGTATCACCTCGACCAGCTCATCGATGAGGCGCTCAAGCACCTTAACGAGGCGAGGGATCACCACCCGGAAGGGGCGGCTACCCACATCATTTTTGGATGGTCAGGAAACGATGTATGGGGCCAACACGGCTATCATGGCTACACTTGGCATCTTCAGAGCAAGTTCACAAAGCGAACAGCCGAGGAGCTCGAGCAGATTGACACTTGGCCTGCAAAGCAGAAGCTTCGTGTTGATCGGGCGTGTGAGAGAGCGTGCAAGCTCCTCCACCGGACTGACGTCTCGGGTGTGTCTTTCTTGATGGGCAGCCATCACTCCTGTTTCTTCCCGGTCGGGGAGCTCTATGACAGGTGCATGAAGAATCACGCCCGAGATCTGATGAGCGGAGGATGCACCATCATTGACCCTGTGGAGCTCTATGAGCAGACCAGCAGGCCTGATGGCTTCCACGCTGACGCGTCGGATCAAAATCTGCAGAGCACCCTTAGGTGGCACGCGGCGATGCTCCGCGGCATACTCACAGATTACCGCCTTCTCGCTGTTGAGCAGCAACTCATCGCAAATCAAAGAGAAGCCGTTTTTCATGCACACTTTGTGTTGAACAAGCCCGAACCGTTCCTCACCGTGCCCCCTGCGTCCGGTAGAATCCTTTCCAAGATTGTCGATTCACCGGACCCACCTCTGGCGAGGGAGGCAGAAGAGGAGATTGTGTTGGCCGGTCCACTCCTGGCGGAGGCGGAGTACGAAGTTGTCAACGACGACTCGGCTCAGAGCTGCAATCCGCAGCCCATCACTGAGTTAGACTTTGCCAGGAATGACACCAGGCCTGGCGCAGGTTGCGTTCTCGCGATTGAAGACAGCGACCCGATCAACGTTGTTGCTGAGGAACACCTCGTCATGGCCAACCAAGCGACAGAGGGCATCACGCAGGAAGAACTCACCGCGGTCGCGGCTGAAGAGGAAATTACCCTCCTCAGTCAATTCGTGGAGCAGGATGATGATCCCTATGAGAATGCCGACACCTACTCCTTGAAGAGAGCTGAAGTGGTCGCGCCTCCTTCTCCCGTGGTCGTCATCAGTGACCCCGACGCCCCTCAGCCGAGCGAGGCCGTTTCTCAGGCACCACTTGTCCCCAAGGCAAAGCCGAGGCCTCCCACGCTGCCGCGTTGGGTTACTGCCGATCAGCTCCCCGATCTGCCGGATGATTACCGTTTCCTCACGGAGAACGCCCGGGTCTGCTTGTCGAAGAAGATGTCCTTCCTTGCCCGGGGATTCGCCAATCGGCGAGCGCCAGAAATGGCGGTCCACATCTCAGCCAGGGACAATTCTATTGAATGGTCCGAATTTTTCGAGAAGTTGGGAATGATGTGGAGAGGCCTCCGTGTGGAGCACGTGGTGGACGTCCTCAAATCCACTCACGACAAAGTGCGGTTCGAAGTCAAGGTTGTCATTAAACCCGACAGGGAGGTCCAGCTGCGTGCCTTTAGAGCGATTCAGGGGCACGACGGCATACTCCTCTCGGAAGAGACGGACGTGATGGCACTGAACACCCACTCGTACCATCTGTCCTCTCTTTGGCAACTCAATTTGGCAAACAGGCCCAGGGTGGGAACCACTGGTTACACCAGCGAGGCCTTCGAAAGCATGCCAAAAGTTGGCTTACCACGGCACGTATCGTTGCTATCTGCACTCCATCGTTCGAGATGGTCTCATCCCGGGAGGGGTTGCTGCAGATGGAAGTGCCAGCCGTTACTTCGTGATGATGTCTCCCGTACCGGCGTGGCAGAGGGAGAGTCATGCAGGCGTTCGTGAAGATGCTGACATTGAATTTGTCATCGACCTGCAACTCGCAGCCCTGGAGGGCGTGCGGATCTTTAGATCCAAGGCAGATGCAATTCAGACACCTGACTGGATTTCCAACAGGTACATTGTTTACTGCTATGATCGCCACTCCCAGGTTCCCATCTGGCACAACCGTGTGTACGAGCTGCTCCGCGTCCGACTGCACAATGCGTGCAAGGATGTTCACGACGGGCGGGAGCCGCGTCCAATCTTCGAGCAGGGCCATTTGGACGATTGGTCGGAGGAGGGCTGCTACCTTGACTACCTCGAAAGCCTCCAGACCAGGCTCAACTTCCATGAGTACCGGCACTACATCACTGACATGACAAGGCCGTACCAAATCGCCCATGAAGAGAACCTCACGGTTGAAGATGAGATCATCAGGCTCGAGGACCTCAAGTTCGCCGACAACGCACCGCGGCCCGAGCCACTGGCGGAAGCCAAGTGGGGTTCCACGCTCAAGGTAGGTGTGGTTCTCCGCAAAGGGCATCCGAGTGGATCGAAAGTACCGCTCCGAGCTCGACCATTTCATCGTCCAGGAGCTTGTTTCCTTTCCCTGGTTTTACTGCACCAGTTGCCGTAAACATTACATCGATGGAATGATTGAGTGCCAGTTCTGCGGCTCCAGAATCGCAGCTGAGCGTGACATGGCACATGTTGCCGAACCCAGCAAACGACGCCTGGAGTCCTCCCGGAAGGGACGGAACATCGACATCATGTCGATCGCCCCCCGGCCGGGGTTGGCCATGAACCGGCACCGTGCAGAGCGAGGAACGCGCGAAGCACAAGATCAAAGTCTCCCTGCAGCAGTACGCAGCAAATGCGTGAGCATGAGAAAATCGGCAATGAAGAGGGGAGGCCAGTCGATCGCTGACGCTCTCACCAATCCCCTCGACGCCTACAATTTTGCGTCCCGTGGTATGGGTATCACTTCATTGGCCCAGCTGGACATGTTCGCCCATTTGCACAATCCAGCACCCGGGGCTGATGCCAACGAGAGGAAAGCATTCGCTGGCACTCACCGGGCTGACGCCAGAGTCTCAATCGCCTATCGTCCGGGAGACGACCGAGTATCATTGGATGAAGCTTTCTTTGTGGCCTTTCAGTCAAGGCTCTATCTCATTGATGAGATATCCATGATCATCTACGCCACCCAGCAGTCCCCGGAAGGGCGACAGAGACCTTTCACGATTCTCTCTTACGATGGTGACTTGTTCACACCAAGGGTAGGCACCGTCTCAGAAGTGATGGCGGAGATCAGTCGTTTCTTCCAGGATCAACTTCCCCTGAGCGGAAGCCGTCAGGATCCTGCACCACGCCACGTGGACTTGGCTCGATCTCTCCACATCCCTGACGGGTTTGCTTGCCTCGGTCAGACCCAATTGAATGAGCTGCTCCGCGATACCAGGTTTTACCAGCGGTATCTGCACTCCAACCGTGTCGAGCCGGAGTGGATTCGTCCCACGAGAGCGTCCTCACTCGGAATGATGCGACCTCCTCCTCCTCCCACAGCTGATCGCAGAAGCTCAGCGCCGGCCCGTCGCCCAGCGGAAGCTGAAGGCTACCGCCCACCGACAGCAAAGTATGGGCCTTCTATGGGAGCGAGGGAGCGCACGCCGTCAAGGGCTACATCGAGGGGCAGATCTCCAGGTCTCAGCTCAGCAATGCCTGAGAGGCCACCGCCACAGCGCAGGGCTTCGACCCCGCGGCCTCCGCCAGTGCGACGCCCAGGTTCCCCTGGAGAGGTGCGCACATCCCGCAGACGCGTGGATCCCACTGGACCAAGCATGACGGAAGGAGAATGGTTGGCTGAGAGGCGCAGCCGAGTCGATGTCGAGATTGGGAAAAGGCTCAGCATTCTTCAGGAACTCTTTGCTGACCTTCCAGAGCACTACCCTTTCGACCATGATGGTGATCTCATCGACCCGACGCGGACGCGCTCGAGCACCTGGACCCTTCTTGACGGGTACTACTGGGCCATGCTCAAGGCCCGGGATGCGCACTGGGTGTCGGAAGAAGAGGTGGTGAACGCCCTTCCTGCTTGGGGAAACCCAGGGGGGATCGTCGTCTACGACTACGACCACGTGTTGTGGTATCTCAGAGGATGGAAACACCACGTCACGAATCCACACACTGGTGTGCAAGAGAGGCGGTACTAACGCCTAAAAGGAGGCATGGTCAGGGTTGCACACTCCACCCTGACGGGTCGGATTCGCCGACCCAGCATTTTTGAGCAAATTGTTTTCGTTCTTTGCATTTCTGATTCCATCAGCCTACGTGTGTGTGCCCGTGCGCCACACTGCATCTCCTTCGCCGCTCTGACGAGCTGGCTACACAGTAGCAGTTGTAGTCAGTTTCTATCCTCAGGGCAACAGGTGAAGAGCACCTCCCTGACGGGCTGGATTTATTTTCAGCTGGTTATGTGAGGTGAAATTTCCTCAAGATGCAGTCGTTTTGCGTACTAGGTACGACTGTAGCGAACATCGTTTGTCTTTCCTCAACTTTTGACGCCTCTTACGTTGCACTAAGTTGCGCGGGGGGTGTTGTTACAGAAAGGCATTTCATTACTTACCGTTGTTCGCTCATGGCTCAAGAAAAAGGCGTGTGCACGTTTCCCTAAATATTGGGGCTGTCTGCTGGTAACAATACTAACTAACCCTAACTAACCCTAACTAACCCCAAACCCTAAACCCTAAACCCCAAACCCGAAACCCTAAACCCTAAACCCCAAACCCTAAACCCTAAACCCTAAACCCGAACAGGATGTCGAGGAGTTCTTTATGGGCTGCTTGCGCTTCAGGGGCCCGGCACGATCCCTGGACGTGGGCCGGCTGATCCAAGACCAAAGGCGCGGGGAAGCTGTGCATTGTTTCGTGGGGTTTAGGGTTTAGGGTTTAGGGTTTAGCGTTTAGCGTTTAGCGTTTAGGGTTTAGGGTTTAGGGGTAGGACCCAGAGTAGGCCTTGTTCCATTTTTTGCCGGGGTGAGGTTCCCTTACACTAATAGAAAGGGTACCTCTGTGATTTTTGTCCTGGGCGACTCTTGGGTCTGGTTCTTGTTGGGTCTCTATGAGCAGGGTTATGGGGTTGGTTTAGGCTTTCGGAGTTTAGGGGTTCGGGTTTAGGGTTTAGGGTTTAGGGTCAGGGCTTAGCGCGTTTTTGGGTTTAGGGTTTTGGGGTTTATAGGGCTCAGTGCTATCCCGTTGCCGCTTTTGGGTTGGGGTGTGGTGCCCTTATCAGTAAACGTAGCGAATCCCAAGAAAGGCTACCAAGAGTATACTCTTTGGATGTTACGGGTGTAGGTTCGTCGTAGGTACGCGCCATAGACCTGTTAAGGTCCCTTCTTGATGGTGCTTATGTGTAGGCTTTGCGGTCTAGAAAACCAGCCCCCAAGCCCCGCCCCCCTCAACCCAAAACCCTACTGTACACCCTGAACCCTGAACGGGCAGGTGGCTGATAAACAACGTGGACAAGCACCATGGCGACATGGGAGGTTGCAAGGTTTTTCCCCCCGAGCTGCATGAAGCTTCATGGTTGATTGTAAATATAGGGTTCTGGGTTTTCGGGCTTAAATGATTCCGATGGCTTGTAACCACATACGACTGTGGCCACCCTAGCTACCTTCCAAGTTCGGAACTGCCCAGGAACCACCCGGTACCCTAATCTTTAGGGCATCGTACCAGCCACCGACTTCCTCATCCTTGATCCCTTAGCCCCACACCCCAGAGGTCCTCACTTTTTGACCGAAATCCAGCCCCATTAGGAACCCTGGAACGCGTAGCCTCAACCGTTTTGAGGATCCTTGAACTGCACCGCAGCCTGCAAAAACCTACATCCCAAGCCCGTGGCAAGACCCTATAGCTCATCATATGCCTCCGCTCAGGATCCATGGCCAACTCAAGTCAGAGATTCTCGGGGTACGGCGAGACCTACAAGGATACCAGCCCAAACCCGAAACCCTAAAAGCGCTAAGCCTAGAACTAGACACAGGAAGGCAAACTCAACATTCCCCGGCCCCTTTTTCTGAACCTGTAGCCTAAAGCAAGCAAAGAAGCCTAAGCTCGGGTTTAGGGTTAAGGGTTTGGGGGCGTAGGGACTGGGGTGAAGGGTTCAGGGTTGTGGGGGTTTTGGGGGTTTAGGGGTTCAGGATTTCAGAGGTTTAGGTGTCCAGGGAGTAGGGGTTTAGGGTTTAGGGTTCAGGGTTTAGGGTTTAGGGAAGTGTACCCTTTGCCCTGAAATGAAGTGTTTTCAGGGCTCCAGTGCATGCCCAGTTTGGAAGTGTTTTTTAAGGGCTCCAGTGCATGCCCAAACCCCCGCTGCTCCCCCTTGCCCCCGCCAACCCCTTGCTGCCCCCCCCCCCCCCCACGCCAAAGGGTTTTGGGTTTCGGGTTTGGGGTTTTTGGGTCTGGGGTTTGGGACCAACTCCAAAGCTCCCTAAACCCTGAAGCCTGAAACCCGACACAGAAACAAAATGGGCTCCAAATACCTGAAGGCCACAGCCCAGTCTCCCTACGCGTTGATCGTCCAAGCTACCAAAGTACCCATTCTGACCCTAGACCCTAAACTTTCAACCCTAAACCCTAAACCCTAAACCCCAAACCCTAAACCCTAAACCCGGTACTAGAGCATCGCTCCAAAGCACGTAGTCGCCCCGACCGCGACATGGCCTCCATACTCCGGCAGAACCTCCCAGGGGAGTGAACCCTAGACCCTAAACCCCAAACCCTAAACCCTAAACCCTAAACCCTAAACCCTAAACCCTAAGCCCTAAACCCTAAACCCTAAACCCTAAACCCTAAACCCTAAACCCTAAACCCTAAACCCTAAGAAAGAGCCCGTGCCCGAGGACTCCACGCCTTCGTGCGTTTGCAAGGGCCGACGGAGTGGGCGCCGAGCAACTGGAAAGCCTAGCGCCCTCCTTGCTTGGATCCAATGATCCAAGGGAAGTTCTAGGGGTATCCTAAACCCTAAACCCTAAACCCTATGTAAGTAAATAAGGGTTTAGGGTTGCTTTGGCTTTCTTTGGAGCATTTTTGCCCGCGTGGCCTCGGAGCTCGCCATGTTCTCGTGTCGGCAGGCCCGCAAGAAGCCGAACCGCGCAAGAACCCCTGAGCCCTAAGCCCCAGAACTTGCAGCGCAAACGCCCAAAGCAACCCTAAACCCTAAATTCTAAACCCTAAATCTTAACCCCAAAACCCTGAACTTGTGTTTTTTGTTTTTCTTTGGGGTTTCTTAAGTAGTAGTAGTAGTAGTAGTAGTAGTAGTAGTAGTAGTAGTAGTAGTAGTAGTAGTAGTAGTAGTAGTAGTAGTAGTAGTAGTAGTAGTAGTCGTAGTAGTAGTAGTAGTAGTAGTAGTAGTAGTAGTAGTAGTAGTAGTAGTAGTAGTAGTAGTAGTAGTAGTAGTAGTAGTAGTAGTAGTAGTAGTAGTAGTAGTAGTAGTAGTAGTAGTAGTAGTAGTAGTAGTAGTAGTAGTAGTAGTAGTAGTAGTAGTAGTAGTAGTAGTAGTAGTAGTAGTAGTAGTAGTAGTAGTAGTAGTAGTAGTAGTAGTAGTAGTAGTAGTAGTAGTAGTAGTAGTAGTAGTAGTAGTAGTAGTAGTAGTAGTAGCAGTAGTCCTGAGGCCTAAGTAGCTGCATGGATTTCCGAGCTGAACAGGGGGTATTGATTTGAGAACCACCCAAAAAGTAAAAAACATTCTTCCTTCATAAGTTTTAAGGCAATGTAAGGGGATTCCTCTTCTTCTTATTATTATTCATTTTAGGGTTTTAGGGTTAGGGTTCAGTGTTTAGGGTTTAGGGTTTAGTTTAGGGTTTAGGGTCGCAAACAAATAGATCTAAGCCCTGAACCCCTTAAGGCCTTAAGTCTTAAACGCTACAAGCCTAACGCGGTGCTTTGGAATCCAGGGTTTGCGTTTACAGGGCTTTCGGGAAAGCCTGAAAACCTCAACCCCTGTCAAGCCTCAAGCTAGCTGGGTGTTCTACGAGATCCCAAAAATGGACCCCCAAATAGTAGGATTCCTTTAAAAAAGGACCCCAAATAAGGTACCCCTATTTTTGTGGGTGGCAAGCGTGACCTTGCTTCCGCTTCAGGTCAGCTACACCCCTAGACCCCGAACCCTTATCCTAAACGAACCCCTAAACCCTAAACCCTAAACCCCAAACCCCAAACCCTAAACTCCTACCTTATCAACCCGAAACCCTAGATCCCAGCAAGGCACGGGCTTAACACCCAAACCGCAACCACTACACTCTAAACCCTAAACCCTAAACCCTAAACCCTAAACCCTAAACCCTAAACTACCCTAAGCTACCCAAAACTACCCTAGCTACCCTAAGCCCTAAACGATAAAACCCTAACCCGAAACCCTAAACCCTAAACCCTGAACCCTCGGCCGCCCGGACCCCCTCCCGCGCCCCTGCAGCATGTGCTTTTCTTGCGGTTTCGAGTTTTGGGTCTAGGGTGTGGGGTTTGGGGTTTGGGGTTTAGGGTTTAGGGTGTTTTTTTTAGTTTTGCGGTCAAGTTAGCCGTTGGATCCGCTAGGGTTTAGGGTTTAGGGTTTTTTTTTGTTTTGCGGTCAAGTTAGCCGTTGGATCCGCTAGCTCGAGACGACCCTATCCCTAAACCCCTGAACCCCCTAAACCCCACAAATCCTAAATCCTCAGCCAATCCCTAAACCCCTTAACCCCACACCCTACAAATCCTGAATTCTCAGCCCGCACCGTAAACCCTAAACCCCGCACCCTAAAATACTTTTCTCTCTGCACCACGGTCTCGGCCTCTCTTGGCCATGGGGGATGTCCGACCACGTAGCGTTTCCGCGCTTTCATTGTCTGAAGCTTACTGGTTCTTGTGAGGGAACTAGGTTTAGGGGTTGGGGTTTAAGGCGTTTCGGGTGTAGGGTTAGGGTTTAGGGTTTCGGGCATTGCGACTTCTTTGATCGCTGGTTGCTGGCATGGAGCTCTCCCAAAGGGACGCCCTGCCATTGCAGCAAGCCTTCGGCCCTAACGGACCTTACGAGAACAGCCACTGGCTTAGGTATTTTGTGGTAAGACTTTTTGGGGGCTTTTGGGGTGTTCAGGGCTTTTGAGGCGTTTATGTTTAGGGTGTGTAGGTTTGGGGAGTCAGGTCCGCACTTTTGCCAAGGCTGCGTGGATCATGCATGCAAGACGTTGTAGCCCCTGCTTTTGGGTGGGGAGTGCTTTTGTCGCCCGTTGTTGCACGCTGGGCTACGCCATCTAGACCATTGCAGGCCCAACGAAGCCTCAAATCCCAACCCCTAAACCCTAAACCCTAAACCCTAAACTCCCCGCCCCACTGCAACGAGGAGCTCAGGCCTACAGTGGCATTGCGACTCGTGCGAGCTTGCCTGCCGCAAAAGTCCAGTGCCGCCCGATGTTCCTCCACGGATATTAAGGGTGGGGAGAATACACTGCGATTCTATCTCGAAAGTTTAGGGTTTTACGACATAGAGTTCAATATTTGGAGTTTAAACTTTGGGGTTTGGGGTTCTAACCCTAAACCCTAAACCCTAAACCTTAAAACCCTCACCCTAAACCCTAAACCCAAATTCTCACATGCGTGGGGCCTGGGGTCGTTCGCAGAGTGAACTGCAGCTGCAGGTTCTTCGTTCGGGAGCCCCAAGCCCTAGACCCAAGCCCCGGACCCTAACCTTGCTTCTCGTTCTTAAAAAAGCCCCGAACCCTAAACCCTGACCCCTGAACCCTAAACCCTAAACCCTAAACCCTAAACCCTAAACCCTAAACCCTAAACGAAACCTGAGACTCAGAACCCCCTAGGCGTAGGCGCAGCTTCCTCACGTGGAGGCACGGCGAGACGCTGAGCCTGAGGTGGCGACCAAGGCTTGGTAGCCTCAACCCTAAACCCTAAACCCTAAACCCTAAACCCTAAACCCTAAACCCTAAACCCTAAACCCTAAACCCTAAACCCTAAACCTTTTTTTTGCTCTGGGTTTTCTTATAAAGTAACCACCCAAAAAAAAAGGGTGCAGTCATCATAATATGGTTACTGGGCTACCAAGAGGGTGCCCCGACATAGACTTCAACGGGTTTAGGAAGTTTTGGGTTCAGGGCAGTTTAGGGTTTGGGGTTTAGGCTTTGGGGTTTAGGGTTTAGGGTTTAAGGTTTAGGGTTTGGGGTTTGGGGTTTAGGGTTTAGGGTTTAGGGTTTAGGGTTGGGGTTTAGGGTCTAGGGTCTATATGGTCTAGGACCCAAGCCCTAAGCCCTAAACTCAGACCTTCAACCTTTGCACTTTATACCCTGAACCCGAAACTTAAATTGAACTACTTGGTAGCGCAGTGGTACCCTGCGCCTTTGTTCTTGGTTCTGGGTTGCCTTATAACTTAACCAACCACACTTGGAGGTTCATGGTACTTACTAACCAATTATAACTGTACTTATAACCCTACTTATAATGCCCCTAAAGGGCCTTATGGGGGTTATCCCACTTATAAGTAGGGTCATAAGCCCAGTTATAATTGGTTAGTAAGTACCATGAACCTCCAAGCAAACAAAGGTGCCCTTATTTACTATCTGGCGACTGGGCTAGTAAGATTAGGTGCAAGGTCTCCTCCAGAGCCCTCCCGCTCCTCCCTTAAAAGACGCCAAGTAGTGAATCCTAAAGCCTGAGCCCTACGCCCTAAACCCCAAACCCTGAACCCTGAACCCTAAACCCTAAACCCTAAACCCTAAACCCTGAACCCTGAACCCTAAACCCTAAACCCTAAACCCTAAACCCTAAACCCTAAACCCTACGTAACCCCTAAACCTAAACCCTAAACCCTTCCATGTGCATCACTTTCAAGGCATGGCAGCCCAAATCTTGTCAACAATACTTAGTATCAAGAATGGTAGTAATACGGAACCCTTTAAACCCTATTCGGGGGGCAACCAAAGAGGGAAAGGGATCAACCCCACTGATCGCCCGGAAATTATATTCCCCAGACCGAACCAAAAGACAAACCCAAAACATGGACAAGAGGAACCCAGGAGGAAAGTAAGGGGGAACAGGATCCACACCCTGAGGGACAAATCCCACAAACCCAGGCTCTACTTTTTGATCTTGTGGCCCTGTAGTACTGGCCATCCTTGAGCCAAATAACCGCGGGTTTATTAACCCTTTCCAACTACTCCTAACACAATTCCTGAAATACAAACTGCAGCTCCGCACTCCCCCTGTCCTAGGGATACCTAGGACACCTTTGGGAGGCGCGTGTTTCTTGGCCAAAAGCTGTCCTTATCGACAGCAGCCAGCTGCTTGACATGCATTTTATGGTTTAACGTCTTCCAGGACAACTGAATTACATCGCTTCGTTTGAAGACCTCTTCAGTCTTCTTCACCCCTTCCCTTCTTTTTCATCACCGCCTTCAACACAAAGGGAACTAGCAGAGGAACTCTCGGTCATCTTGTTTTGCGACCGCTTCTGAACGGCAGATACCTCCCCGCTCAGCTCAGTCTGAATTTCCTGACTGACCATTCTTCGACCCGAAGACGAGGACGACGTTGTTAAAACCCCGTGTCTTTGCAACACTTCCAACACGGCCGCAGCGAACTCAGTGTTTATCCCACCGGTCTCATCCCAGGGCCTCTTCACACCAGTCCTTGTTTGTTGTGCAGAACTACCTCGTCTCTCATCTTCAGCAACGTCAGTCATGTCCACATTGGGAACCATACCCTCATTGGGAATTTCTGCAACCGTTATTCTTCCCAGTTGTTCTTCCGCAGCACCAGGCATCACTGCTTCTAGCGCCACCTCTCCAGCCAGGGAACCAGTTGCACCATTTTCAGCTCCACCATCTTCACCACCATTCGCGGAGGATTGGAGCCATCGCTTGGGGGAAGGCATTGCTTCTTGAGCCCAAGCCCTGAACAAAAACAACTTACCGCAGGGAACCGCTT